CCTTCTTCATCTCCCGCAGCAGCTCCTCCGCCACGTGCTTGGGCAGGATGGACAGCATCAGCCGCTCCTGGGGGCGGAATTCCCAGCGGGAATCACCGGGAATTCCCAGCGGGAATAACGGGAATTCCCAGCAGGAATCACTGGGGGAGTGCTTGGGCAGGATGGACAGCATCAGCCGCTCCTGGGGGCAGAATTCCCAGCGGGAATCACCGGGAATTCCCAGCGGGAATCACCGGGAGAGTGCTTGGGCAGGATGGGCAGCATCAGCCGCTCCTGGGGGCGGAATTCCCAGCAGGAATAACGGGAATTCCCAGCGGGAATAACGGGAATTCCCAGCGGGAATCACCGGGAGAGTGCTTGGGCAGGATGGACAGCATCAGCCGCTCCTGGGGGCGGAATTCCCAGCGGGAATCACCGGGAATTCCCAGCGGGAATAACGGGAATTCCCAGCGGGAATCACTGGGAATTCCCAGCAGGAATAACAGGAATTCCCAGCGGGAATCACCGGGGGAATCACCGGGAAAACCGGGAAAACACAGCGGGTTTCCCGGCAGGATGGGCAGCATCAGCCGCTCCTGAGGGGGAATTCCCAGCAGGAATTTTCCTCCCCAAAAACCGGGAATCCCGGGGACTGTGGACACCGAGCGGCTGCTCCGGGGTTTGGGAGTGTCCCAGGGAAGGTGGGAGCATCCCGGGATCGGGGTGGGATTATGGGATGGGATTGGGAATCCGTGGATCCCATCCCGAGCAATTCCGGGATTCCGGGATCCAGGATGCTCAGGATCCATCCCGAGGGGTTTTTATGGAATTCTGGGATAGGGAGACCCTTCCTGGAGTCCCCAATTCCCAGGGAATTCCCAAAACTCCTTCCCTTGGGATGGGGCTGGATCCAACCCCAGGCTGGGAATGGAGGGAATTCCATGGGAAAAGGGGGAGGGATTTGGGAAGGAATTCCCGGCTGGGCTGGAATTCCCAGAAAATCCCTGGGAGCGTCCAAGGAAAGGTTGGAGCAGCCCAGGCTGGAGGGGTTGGAAATCCATGGGTCCCATCCCGAGGCATTCCCGGATCCCGTGATGGGAACAATCCCGGGAGTGAAATCGGGATCGGCACCGGGATCCCGGGGAGCTTCCCCATGGATCCGGGATGGGAACATTCCAGGCAGGATCCATCCATGGAAAAGCACTTCCGGTATCCCAAATCCCAAATCACAAATCCCAGGTCCCAAATCCCAAATTTCAGACCTCAAATCCCAAATCCCAGATCCCACATCCCAAATTTCAAATCCCAAATTTCAAATCCCAAATTTCAAATCCCAAATTTCAAATCCCTAATTTCAAATCCCATTCCCGATCCCCTTCCCAATCCCATTCCTGGCCCAATTCCCGGCCCCATTCCCATTCCCATTCCCAATCCCAATCCCATTCCTGATCCTCCTCCTGATCCCATTCCCATTCCCATTCCCATTATTCCTGTTATTCCCATTATTCCCATTATTCCCATCCCCATTGACATTCCCATTTCCATTCCCATTCCCAAACCCATTCCCAGCCCCACTCCTGATCCCTTTCCTGATCCCATTCCCCATCCCCATCCCCATTATTCCCATTATTCCCATCCCCACCCCCACCATTCCCGATGACATTCCCATTCCCATTCTTCCCATTCTTCTTCCCATTCTTGCCATTGACATTCCTGGTATTCCCGATATTCCCATTATTCCCATCCCCACCCCATCATTCCCGATAACATTCCTGATGCCATTCCCATTCCCATTATTCCCATTATTCCCATTATTCCCATTATTCCCATTATTCCCATTATTCCCATTGACATTCCCAATATTCCTGATATTACCATTATTCCCATTGACATTCCCATTGACATTCCCATCATTCCCATCATTCCCATCATTCCCATCATTCCCATCATTCCCATTGACATTCCCATTGACATTCCCATTGAAATGACATTCCCATTATTCCCATTATTCCCATTATTCCCATTATTCCCATCATTCCCATCATTCCCATCATTCCCATTATTCCCATCATTCCCATTCCCGATGCCATTCCCAATATTCCCATTTTTCCCATCCCCATCATCCCCATGATCCCCATTATTCCCATCGCCATTCCCACCATTCCCATCATTCCCATTGACATTCCCATTATTCCCATTATTCCCATTATCCCCACCCCAACCATTCCCATCATCCCCATTCCCATTATTCCCATCATTATTCCCATTATTCTCATTGATATTCCCATTGACATTCCCATCATTCCCATCATTCCCATCATTCCCATTATTCCCATTATTCCCACTGACATTCCCATTGACATTCCCATCATTCCCATCATTCCCATCATTCCCATCATTCCCATTGACATTCCCATTGACATTTCCATTCCCATCATTCCCATCATTCCCATCATTCCCATCATTCCCATCATTCCCATTGACGTTCCCATTGACATTCCCATCATTCCCATCATTCCCATCATTCCCATCATTCCCACTGACATTCCCATCATTCCCATCATTCCCATCATTCCCATCATTCCCATCATTCCCATTGACATTCCCATCATTCCCATCATTCCCATCATTCCCATTATTCCCATCATTCCCATCATTCCCATCATTCCCATTGACATTCCCATCATTCCCATCATTCCCATCATTCCCATTATTCCCATTGACGTTCCCATTGACATTCCCATCATTCCCATCATTCCCATCATTCCCACTGACATTCCCATTGCCATTCCAATCATTCCCACTGACATTCCCATCATTCCCATCATTCCCATTGACATTCCCATTGACATTCCCATTGCCATTCCAATCATTCCCATCATTCCCATCATTCACATCATTCCCATCATTCCCATTGACGTTCCCATTGACATTCCCATCATCCCCATCATCCCCATGATCCCCATTATTCCCATTGACATTTCCCATTGACATTCCCATTGACATTCCCATTATTCCCATCATTCCCATCATTCCCATCATTCCCATCATTCCCATCATTCCCATTCCCGATGCCATTCCCAATATTCCTAACCCTAACCCAATATTCCCATTTTTCCCATCCCCATCATCCCCATGATCCCCATTATTCCCATCGCCATTCCCATCATTCCCATCATTCCCATCGCCATTCCCACCATCCCCATCATTCCCATCGCCATTCCCACCATCCCCACCATCCCCATCATTCCCATCGCCATCCCCACCATCCCCACCGCCGTTCCCGGCATTCCCG